CACATAAACTGTTATTATGTTTGAACAATCTCTATGTGATGTGAAGTGTTTGGCTGGTTGGTTTATGAGAGAGTTTGTAAGATGGAATAATGGGTTGAGGTTCTGTTTTTGTGACTGAGAATAAAGACGAGTATGAGCAAGGGTCTTTTATGAATGAGCAGAGTTTACAAAGAATGTTGCTTTTTCTGTTCTCTCTTTTTCTCTCTAAAAGCTAACCCCTTGTGTGTTGTGAAAACAGTCTATTTGTAGATGAGTTTTGCTGGGATTTTGGGAGGGAAACAAATGACAATTTGAATTGTTTAGGTATGCTGTCTTCATAGATTTTTGATGCAACTCTTATGTGCTAATTTAGTGCAAATATGAGGCTGAGATAATGCAGACTTGGACTGGGTTAGGAGCAGCATAGCAGGGCTATTTTGCATCAGTTTTGGAGTGTTGTGTTAGTGTTTAAAGATAACATAGCAGGGCTGTTTTGTTCAGGACAGTAGACTATCTTCTAAACATGATTTTGAGCTTGTAGCAAGCAGGCTCGGGCTTGGCAGCATATTGTAGCATGGTACAAAATCTGGTTTGTTGACCAATTTATGCAGATTGTAACAAAGACAAAGCATAGTAGCAAGGTTTTTAGTCAAAGGAAAAAAAAATTCAAACAAGACAAAGCTTTAAGATTTGTAATTTACAAAAAATGCAACCTTGTAATAATTTGAATTATTTGTCACATCTTGAATTATTCTGAATTATAATGAAAGGGTGTCACGAAGCAATGAATTTAACAAGTATACAAACACTTAGAAAAATTTCTAAGTCTTGTCAATTTTGTCTTTTTAAAATGACCTTTAACTTCCTTGATTTTTGATGATAAAATTTCATATTTTGGATGTCTTGATGAAATGTCATTTTTGGGACTCAATTTTGGTCAAAAAGTTAAAGTTTGACTTTTTAGTGTACAATTGACTTTTTTTCTACTAGTTGACCGAATTTCGTCTATCTATCAAATGATCTTGGGAGATGAATTGAAATATGTGATTAGGTCAAAATGACGTATTTGGATTCTTGAAATCAATGTTTTAAACAAATAAGTCATGTACTAGATCAAAATCGAAGATTGGTCATTCTCGGTCAAAACCCTAATTTTGACCATTTTGCCCTTTTGATGATTTGAACAATTTTCTTGGAGAATTGTGATACAATCTTGAAATTTGACAGAAATAATCTTGAGGGTCCATAATGATCCATGAAAGTCATTTGAAATGTTAGGGGTCCAACTGTCTTTGCGCAAACTCAAACCCTAATTTGAGGCATCAATGTTGAGGAGATGGCTTGACCTAGTCAATACTTGTGCAAGCTTTGAACTTTTAAAGATATTTGTGAGAAATATATTGATAAAAGAGAGGGAAAATTTTGGGGTACAATAGCTGCCCCTGTTCAATCTTCTTAAACCTGAAGAGTTAGATTGGCGAGTGCACCATTCGTGACTTGAAGGTGGAAGATGATTGAACACTAGAGTGCCCGAAAATTTGCACTCGCAGATGTGTTAGTTTGATTGTGTAGAGAATTGGATTGAAGATTCCATTTGGAGAAGTGATGAAGAATTCGTCGGAGATGGGCTTACGGATGCCATTTATAGTGACAAAAGAGGTATGTTGTTTGGTGACTTCACTGGGGAAATAATCCTAACCAGAAGAGGTCTGTTGATTGTCTTTCTTTAACTGGAAGAAATGAATTTAACTAGAAGAGGTCTTCGTTCTCCTGTCTTTAATCTGGAAGAAATAAAGCTAACCAGAAGAGATCTTTATTTTGGCTATTTTTAATTTGGAAGAAAATAAATCTAACCAGAAAAGGTTTTCATTTACTTGTCTTTAATTTGGAAGAAATAAATCTAACAAGAACAAGTCTTCATTTGCCTGTCTTTAATCTGGAAGAAATAAATCTAACCAGAAGAGGTCTTCATTCGTCTGTCTTTAATCTGGAAGAAATAAATCTAACAAGAAGAGGTATTCATTTGCCTGTCTTAAATTTGGAAGAAATAAATCTAACCAGAAAAGGTCTTCATTCGCTTGTCTTTAATCTGGAAGAAATAAATCTAACCAGAAGAGGGCTTCATTCGCTTGTCTTTAATCTGGAAGAAATAAATCTAACCAGAAGAGGTCTTCATTTGCATCTCTTTAATCTGGAATAAATAAATATAACCAGAAGAGGTCTTTGATCCGCCTGTTTTAAAGCGGAAGAAATAAATCTAACCAGAAGAGGTATTTGATTTGCCTGTTTTTAACTGGAAAAATTAAATCTAACCAGAAGAGGTCTTTGATCCGCCTATGTTTAACTGGAAGAAATAAATCTAACCAGAAGAGGTATTTGATTCGCCCGTCTTTAATCTAGAAGAAATAAATCTAACCAGAAGAGGTCTTCATTCGTATGTCTTTAATCTGGAAGAAATAAATCTAACCAGAAGAGGTATTCATTCGCCTGTATTTAATCTGGAAGAAATAAATCTAACCAAAAGAGGTCTTTATTCGTCTGTCTTTAATCTGGAATAAATAAATCTAACCAGAAGAGGTCTTCATTTGCCTGTCTTTAATCTGGAAGAAATAAATCTAACCAGAAGAGGTCTTCATTCACCTGTCTTTAATCTGGAAGAAATAAATCTAACCAGAAGAGGTCTTCATTTGCCTGTCTTTAATCTGGAAGAAATAAATCTAACCAGAAGAGGTCTTTATTCACCTGTCTTTAATCTGGAAGAAATAAATCTAACCATAAGAGGTCTTCATTTGCCTGTCTTTAATCTGGAAGAAATAAATCTAACCAGAAGAGGTCTTCATTTGCCTGTCTTTAATCTGGAATAAATAAATCTAACCAGAAGAGGTCTTCATTTGCCTGTCTTTAATCTGGAAGAAATAAATCTAACCAGAAGAGGTCTTCATTCGCGTGTCTTTAATCTGGAAGAAATAAATCTAACCAGAAGAGGTCTTCATTTGCCTGTCTTTAATCTGGAATAAATCAATCTAACCAGAAGAGGTCTTCATTTACCTGTCTTTAATCTGGAAGAAATAAATCTAACCAGAAGAGGTCTTTATTCACCTGTCTTTAATCTGGAAGAAATAAATCTAACCAGAAGAGGTATTTGATTTGCCTGTTTTTAACTGGAAAAATTAAATCTAACCAGAAGAGGTCTTTGATCCGCATGTGTTTAACTGGAAGAAATAAATCTAACTAGAAGAGGTATTTGATTCTCCCGTCTTTAATCTAGAAGAAATAAATATAACCAGAAGGGGTATTCATTCGTCTGTCTTTAATTTGGAAGAAATAAATCTAACCAAAAGAGGTCTTTATTCGCCTGTCTTTAATCTGTAAGAAATAAATCTAACCAGAAGAGGTATTCATTCGCTTGTCTTTAATCTGGAAGAAATAAATCTAACCAGAAGAGGTCTTCATTCATCTGTCTTTAATCTAGAAGAAATAAATCTAACCAGAAGAGGTCTTTGATCCCTCTGTTTTTAACTGGAAGAAATAAATCTAACTAGAAGAGGTCTTTGATTCGTCTGTTTTTAACTGGAAGAAATAAATCTAACCAGAAGAGGTCTTTAATCCACCTGTTTTTAACTGGAAGAAATAAATCTAACCAGAAGAGATCTTTGATTCGCCCATTTTTAACTGGAAGAAATAAATCTAACCAAAAGAGGACTTTTGTTTTGACTGCCTTTTCCTGCAAGGAAGAGGGTTAGTTGCATGCAGAAGTATGGTTGGCGTGATGATGTTCTCAAAATAAATGAGATTATGCTGTATGCATTTGTTATGTATGTGATATGATGTATGAATGTGATATGATTATTAAAGTATCTTTGTCTAGGAAAATAAATCATTGACAAATGCTGGGAAATTTTGGGAAGTTAAATCCCAGAATACTGTTGGAGATTAAGAGTATGTGTATCTTCGAACTTTGTTTAGGATATTTCCGCTGGGGATTCCTGCTTTTCTTGTTTGAGGAGAATTCCGCTGGGGAACATTGACTTTGCTTGAGAAAACTCTGCGGAGAGTGTTGATTTCTACTTGGGGAATAGAGTTCGGGAGCTTTGGTTTTCCATTACTCTACTGGGGAATTATCTCTCGATTGGGAGAATGAAAGTTAGTTGTTATCTAGTCGGGATCTAGGCTTTGCAGCAATTTGTTGGGGGAATAAAATCAAATGTTATCTGGTCGGATTCCAGGCTTCGTAGTAACTCATTGGGGATAGTGGAAAACTCTACTGGGGAAGAGGAGTTTTGTGGGAGAAATAAATAAACCATGTTTGAATAGACTTTTTGACGATCTGCTGGAGAGATATTTTCTTTTGGCAAAACACCTCAAGGCTTCTTCTTAAGATCAAATCAGTCGGAGAGAGGTTTTCTGGAGATTGAAACTCTGGCTGGGGATTGCATGAATCCGACTTTTGTAGGGATATCCCAAATCTTTAGGAAATGCTTGTTACTGTTTTTATGTATACCTTTATTAACAGTTTAATCATGTTTAAATGGATATGTTCATTCAATTTTAGTCATTTGACACTTTTGCATTCAAAACAGAAAAAACAAAAGTTTACACTTCAAAAGTATATTTTATATTGATGTTTTGCCCATGATTAGGCATTTTTGTACAAAGAGACGGAGATCCTAATAAAAAAAATTGTCGAAAGGAATACAAAGTGAAAACAAAAATAAATAACCATATGAAAGTGATCTCATTGTATTCTAATTCTACTATTGTCCACATGTCCCCTAGAGAGAATGGATTGTTTATATGGTATTATAGACATAAAATATGAATTACAAAACTTGATTTGATCTGAATGGCAAAGACATTAAATATGTTTTAAAAAAAATAATAAAGTTTAGAAAACGAGATGTGTGAAGAAAATAGTGTGTATCCGATTATAGTGATTTAGGTTTGAGTTTAATAACCGAAAGAAAGATAAATTGGTGATATCTGTGTGTGACGCGCGCGGCGTTCCTTGTTTCCTTCCTGAGATGGCATTGAATGTTATATCACCCCCACTATTCTCACTGGTAATTATTTCTTCTTCTTCTTCTACTTTCCTTCAATTCATATTCTATTCATTTTATTTTTTCTGTTTTGGATGGTTAGTCAAATGTTGCAGATACCAGAACCCTAACAATCACAGCATTCAACCCTAACCCTAGGACTATCCCCATTCACCGACCTCTGGGATGTAACCTTAGGACTATCCCCATTCACCGACCTCTGGGATTCAGAGTCCGCGCGGCTCCTGCTGCTAGACTGAAAGTGAGGGCGGCCACTGGTAATTCAGAGTCAGAGGAAGTAATCATACAATCAAAAGTGACCCACAAAGTATTCTTCGACATCAGTATCGGTAATCCAGTTGGAAAACTAGTGGGTAAGATTGTCATCGGACTCTTTGGGGACGATGTCCCCCAAACTACCGAGAACTTCCGGGCCCTTTGCACTGGTGACAAGGGTTTTGGCTACAAGAACTCCACCTTCCATCGTGTCATCAGAGACTTCATGATTCAAGGAGGAGATTTCGACAAAGGAAATGGAACTGGAGGCAAAAGTATATATGGTCGCACTTTCAAAGATGAGAATTTTAAACTCTCTCATACTGGACCCGGAACTCTTAGTATGGCTAATGCAGGTCCCAACACCAATGGGAGTCAGTTTTTCATATGCACCGTCAAGGTACTCCATAACTTACTTTCAATTCATATCTGCTTATCAACTTCATAACTTCCATTTTCAACCTCTCTTACTTTCAATTCATATCTGCTTATCAACTTCATAACTTCCATTTTCAACCTCTCTTACTTTCAATTCATATCTGCTTATCAACTTCATAACTTCCATTTTCAACCTCTCTTACTTTCAATTCATATCTGCTTATCAACTTCATAACTTCCATTTTCAACCTCTCTTACTTTCAATTCATATCTGCTTATCAACTTATTTGGCACAGACGCAATGGCTTGATCAGAAACATGTTGTATTTGGCCAAGTCTTGGAAGGCATGGACATTGTTAGATTGATTGAATCGCAAGAGACAGATCGTGGTGATCGTCCACGAAAGAAGGTTGTTATCAGTGACTGTGGTGAGCTGCCAATTGCTTGATATGTTTTGTTTTTTTGCCTGCTCACCAACAAACGGAGTTCTTGCTCTCTGCAACTTTTTTTGTTTCACTACCATAATTCTCTATGACTTGAGTACCTTTCTTATTTTGATACTAGGACCTACAAACTCTTATCAGCTATTTGTATTCTAGTAGAGCAATATAGTTGGAGTTGCTATCATATTGGTTGGGAGATTTTAGATCTTATTTGATTCTGAATAGTATCCTTAAAATAACCCAAAGTGCACAGATTCAGCATGGAATCAAATGTGAGGGAACTCTGGTGAAATTTAATAAGATTGTGATTGACTTTTCTAAGACATTCTATTACCAATTTTATGATTCTTCCTCTTGCCCTTGCTCTTTCAGAGATACCCTTCCTTCAAATATTTTAAGGTGGATCTTGTCTGGCTTAATTGTCACTACCACTAGTCTGCGAGATTGGAATGTGATTTATGATGTTGATGTTCCGCGTTCACCTATCTCGTAGCTGTCTCTCTCATACACCCCTTTTCCTACCTCTTGTTTGCCCCTGTTTCAATTTATGTCAAAGAAAAAACTTACAACTTCACATATCTCCCAGTTTCATATTTGTTTATGGTACAAGCTGTGTAAAAGAAAATCGGTGTTCTGGATGCTGACTCTGTCACAGAATGTTCTGTCTGCTATCATTCTAAAGATTCAGAGTTCTCTTTCACTCTGTCTACATATTAAAGATGCAGAGTTCTATTTTGGATCAAAAGAGTTCTAGATATGTTACTGAACATATTCAAGAAAAATAGATGATGCTGTAGAAGCAATTTATGTTAGTAAAGTATCATTTAAGCTTAAAAATAATCTATATGCATTTCTATTGAATTTGATGCTGCGTTTCAACTTATAACTTAATAAAACATATATCAAATAAGTAGAAACTGACACGGAATACAACTGATAACAACACACCAAGGGGGACCTACTTTGGCCCTAGAATCTTATAATACAATCTTCCGTGTTCATGCAAAATCACATTTTCCAAGCTTTCAGAACTGTAACAAATCAGTAATGGTGATTCATTCCTTTGGGTATTTGCTCTAAGATCATCATCTGCTGCAGTCTTTGAAGCTTCTGTTATGTTCTCTCTATGAAGCTCCGACACGCCAATTAGAAGGCATGTCTCCGCACTGGACATGTATCGGACACTGATACATGTACAACACGCGTATGACACGTATCAAACACATTTTCGAAGTGTCCAACAAAAAAAATTAATTGAAACGCATCGGACATAGATACAACACACTATTTCAATTAACGGACACACCAACCTCTCAAATTCTCATAATTAAAAAAAAAATCCATATTCCACTTTCCCACTATAAAAACAAATCGTATTTCTTGTTTTTTCATATTCTCTTTTTGGATAAGCCAGATTTAGAGACATGTTTTCTTAATATGGAGTGACTATAATATGATTTGTATCATTTTATTTTAGATGATTTTTCTTAATTAAAAGTACTCAATTTAAGTCTTTTTTTGGTCTGATTGAAAGCACTAAGTTTAAATAAATATAAATTTTAGTTTTCACTTTAGATTCTTCATAAATCGGGCTCATAAATTGTATTCTTTTATTAATATTAGTAGTGTCCTCGTGTTCGTGTCTGTGTCGTGTCCCGTGTCTGTGACTGAATCCGAACTTCATAGTGTTCTCCATCTCCTCATCAGCTACACCTTCATCTCTTTTGGTTTTAATATTACAAATGAACATTGTTTTTGTATTATGGGAACGGATATAATCACTTCATTCAATCACATTGGGATCTTAGCAAATTAGATTATTATTGGTTTTAATATTACAAATGAACATTGTTTTTGTATTATGGGAACGGATATAATCACTTCATTCAATCACATTGGGATCTTAGCAAATTAGATTATTATTGGTTTTAATATTACAAATGAACATTGTTTTTGTATTATGGGAACGGATATAATCACTTCATTCAATCACATTGGGATCTTAGCAAATTAGATTATTACTAGTAATTAACCTATTTCTCTTTATCTCTTTTACTGTTGTTTTTTTATTTATTTTTAAATTGGGATTATACTAACTAATTTGAAGAGCAATTATGTAGCACATATATCTCTGAAAACAAGTGTATTTATGTCAGTGTTTTTGTCTACCGACATTTGTGAATATATTTAACTTATTTATTTTTAAAAATTATTATTGATGTTGATGTATCGGTATCGTGTTTATGATGTTTGAACTTCATAGAGGGTCAATTCTATCGTCCTAATGAATAGTCTAATTGAAATCAGTTTTATATGGATTAATTCATCAAAGGAATTGTTGCCATATCCAAGATTCAAATGTTTTCTCAGGAGATTCTCGACAGATTGGTGTCAATTCCTCCTCATAGGTCGGGAAATAGTGAAGATAGATGCACTTAAGGTGGTACATATAATGAAAATTTTACAATTTGGATGCTTCCAACAAACTAAGTACTCATGTTAACCATAATAATTTTAAGCAGTGGAATGCTATTTGGAAAATTAGTGTGCCTGAAAGGATTAGATCCTTTGTCTGGTTAATTTATCACAATGGCTTGAAAACAAAACTTTTTTTTTCATCATCGAAGGATATGTGATCCATATTGTATATATTGTGAAGGTGTGGAGGAGACAAATCTTCAAGTACTGAGAAACTGCAAAATAGTGAACCATATTTGGAAGCAACTTATACAAGAAAATCACTGGGAAGTTTTCTTCAACATAATATCAAGAATGACTGGGAGCCTAATGGAATACAAAATCTGAGTGGGATGGTGACAATGGAGATTGGTAGTCAAATTGGGCCACTGCTTGTCATACCATATGGTATTGGAGGAACCAAAGAATGTATAACCTGGATTTTATAATGCCTTAAAATCTTGCTCAAGAAAGTCTTATGCAGGTGCGGGATTATACCAGGAGCTTGAGTTTGTAACTTAAATTCTCCAATCATCAGAGAATTGTTAGATAGATCAGTTGGATTCCTCCTGATGATTTGTTGATTTCGCTAAATACTGATAGAGTAATGTCATCTTCAAGAAGAGTAGGTTGTGGAGGATTGTTTAGAGATAATATTGATCGTTGGCAGGGAGGCTTTGCAAAGGCTCTTGGAAAATTTTCAGTTATGATGGCAGAGCTGTAGGGGGTTTGGGAAGGAATCTAGCTTGTGCAGAGTAAAGGCTTCAATAAAGTAGTGCTGCAATAAAGCAGTGCAGCATGTCCTTACGAATGATCAAGCAAAGTTTAGAGAAGAGATGAGTATCCTCCGTAAGATGAGGAGCAAAATGAAACAAGGCTGGGAGATCCAAGTGGTCCATGTTTATTGAAAAGCTAACACATGCGTTGATGGCCTTGCAAAAGTATGGCTCAATCTCATGACTAATTCTATGTTCTACGAGTTGTGTTCTTGAGAAGTGTATGAAAGTTTCATTGATGATATAGCTAGTTTATCCTTTATGAGAAACATTACTTTCAATTTTTCTTTTTGGGATTCGAACCTCCCAAGTCACAACTTTTTTGTCTTCTTTTTTGGGCTTCGGCCCTTTCAAATCACAAAAAAAAGGAATTTCTTATCCTACCCCATGTAGGGAAAAAGAACCATATGAAAACTCTAAATCATCTTTGGCGTATCAAAAGTCTATTTTCGGTACTGGCTATAGCGGTAGAAATATTGAGACTAAGCCATTAGACTGACTTAACCAGCATAGAACAAAATAGAAATCACCACCGCGCTTTATTGTTTTCAAAGGAATGACAAAAGAGCGAATAACCTAAAAAGAGATGGAAAGATTCAAGGTAAGGGGGTTGGTTATGTAAAGGGAATGTATTAGCACCCTAAACATCTACGGTACTCTGCATGAACCTCTTTGTAAAATCTGCATATTTTGTCTATAAAATGTTGTATAAAAATAGATGGTGGAGGTGAGAAAATAAATGTTTTTTTATGATTTTTACACCCGCCGCGGTTGTGAACCTTTAGTGCCTATGTACCATCTTCTGTGCAATAGGGGATCAGGATACACGTAGTTCCTCTTTAAAAAATTTAAAACAAAAGTGCGTTGGTTAGTTTTATGAGATAAGACATCATCGTCATTGTCCGTGTGGAAAACATACTTACTACCCACAATCATGAGAAAGGAGAATTTGCATCATCTAAAAATGGAGAATATGGCTTGGATTTTAAAATCAACAAAGCCTCACTCAACATCCAAGTGGAAAATATCTCTCTTCACTACATATTGTAGAAGTATAGTTGTTTGCATCACTACAAAGATTGACAATAGTCCAATCTTTTGAGAAAAGTTTTTTAAAACAAAAGTCAAAGTGGCAAAATGGTTTGAATGAGATTTATTGACTTTTAGTCTTCTTAGAAAAATGTCGAGGTATGATTAAGTTGATTGAAATTTATATATGAAAATGTTTTGAAAATGCATGGACCTAAGTTCAAGTTTATTATGAAAGTGGTTCAGGTTTAGAAACAAGAAGAGTTTTCAAAAAGAGGGAGAAATTTTTTGAAATTAAAGAAGATGGGAGGAGATGAAGAGATTATCCTAAAGCATAAGGTAAAAAGTTAAGGAGAAGAACCATCTAATCAACAAGAAGCCAATACTTGACATTATGAGTCAACATAGAATTCCTATTCTTTGGATTGAAACCAAGCAAGCAAAGATACTAGACCTCTTAAGAAAATCAAACTTTAAATGTATTAAGTCTTCACAAAAATTGGGCAGAGTAACGGCTGTATACGGGTGAATTCCATATTACAGACAAAGTATGTAATCACAATAACTTGCACACAAAACAAACAAACAACCCAATGTCTTGAGGTAAACCCCAAGAACTCCAGACAAAATATTAATTAAGGTCACAAGGTCTCCAACATAGGTCAACGTCTCTAATCCTAAGTCCAAGAAGTCAAATACTCCATAATGTCAAGGATAGTAACCAACTAGTCCAAGTATCATTAATGTTTTTTATGGTTTATGTTGATTATTAAGTTTCCCCAAAATTCTAGCGTTTCACCTAGAACGGGTCAACTTCTTCTTTAACCAAGGCATTCCACCTAGAAAGGGTAATATAAATTGTCTCAAATAAAGAGACTGTCACTTGTAAAGATTTCTCAACGAACTGTCTCTGTCATATTGAAAAGACTTGCCATCCATTGGAGTAATTTGACAATGAACTATAAACTATCCACTCAAAGAGAAGATAGCAAAAAAGTAACGTCGACTTTTACGAGGAAGTATAATTTGCTCAAATAAAGAGACCTGTTACTTGCTGTTATGAGAAGGATTGTAAAAATGACTTCCTGGGGAAAGAAATATGGCTTATTGGAGAAAGAAACATGGCTTCCGGGGGAAATGCCAACATACTCCTGTTGAGAAGCTAAAGTCTTCTCGTGCCAAAATAAATGCACATTCTCAAACCAGGGCTTGAAGCTTGCAGAAATTTAAAGTAATAATTTTGCTGGGGATCATATATTTAAACCAGAAATAAACCGGAATGAATCAGTCAACCAAAATAACACCTCATGAGAAATAAACTCAAAGGGGAATCACATTCTATCCAGACAAAGAGCTGTAGAGGAAGGCTAAAGCAAAAATCTTCCATGAGGGATAAATCAGTAGGGAAATTGAAAGAATATACACTTTCTGCTTAAGGTTGACACTCTATTAGAGAGAGGATAACACAACTCTGCAAAACAGGGTAATAGGCTAACAAAAAATTAATGAATGCAAATGAGCAATGATTTGTTAAGTTCAACTATGCATGATGCATATATTAATGTATGAGTGTTATTATGTATATGCTGACAAAATAAACATATAATATCGGGGGTAACCAAACAAAACCAACTCGGGTAACGTCAATACTCGGCTAAATCATATCCAAGATGAAAATTTCATAAGAAAGTAAGCACCAACTGAGGAAACAAGTTCCAATTCACGACTTAACTTCACTGGGAAGGAACATAATCTGAAATTAATCAAATCATATCAATAAATCAGTATAGATACAAGGATATAACATCCTCCTCCAGGCTTCACCGGGGAATATCATACAGACTTCAATGGGGAAAACAAATGTTTCACGGTCTATACTTCTACTGGGGATTGCAATACTGATTTCAATGAGGCAGATGAAAACCATATCGTCAAAACATCAACTGAGGATCTCGTGCTGACTTCATTGAGGAAATAAATTTTGGATAAGAGCCATCTAACTACTCATCTAGATTCCCATCCTTTCCATCTCAGCTTGCAGTTGTTCCAAATGGTCATCCTTGTTGTCTTCAGGATTTTTCTTGGTCATGTTTCCAACGAGGAGTGTTTTTAATTCTTCTTCCCCTTTGGATAGATTCAGGAACAATTCCTTGAATTGAGTATCTTGAGTTTGAAGATCTATGTCATTCTGTTCGAGATCCATCTTCCTACTGCTGAAATAAACAGTGAGAAAATGAGAAACATGTCTCAAGAATACTTGTTATGTAATGACATGCATGCAATATTTTCAAGGATACCGTGAGGCAAACACAAGAAAAAGTTTGAATCCGACTGCAACTTTGATTGAAGAACTTCGTATTGTTGAATGTCCTTCTACGAGAATCAAGCTCACCAAGTCGAGTGGGTCATAACCTCAGACTCAAGTTATTGTGCTTTGGTCTTTTGACGGCATTGGCTACAGGAAAATAAATCCCCTTGTCCCTTGTTAGACAGCTGGTTTATCATAACCTGCACCACAGACTCTTTGAGATCCTTGAAATGGTTAACAAAATGCTATGACATGATACCATGATGTGTATGTCATGCACCAAGCAAAAGTGTAAGGTGACTTAAACAAGTAAATATTGCAAGAAATCCAGGTTATTGGATAATGGATACAAATAGGTCCTGCAAGGAACTCACGTCATTAGGTAATGAAAACAAACATGCCCTGCAAGGAGTTCAATTTGTTAGATAATGAAAGCAAACAAGTCACACAAGTAGCCTTAGGTTCAGGCTTGCATGGAGTTTGTAGGTAAGTACCCTCTTGAAGTTTTAGTTGGTTCAACCTGTCCTAGAAAGTAACCGGGTTCTAAGGAGTCTCATATCATTGACCTTTCTCTCAGGCATTGTTTCAGCTCAAGCATCTAAATATTGCGGTCGAAATATCCCGAAAGTCCAATCTCAATGAGTATAACATCAAGTATCAACCAATCTTCGGCCGGAACCAAAACCGACTATCTCACTACTTTCTAATGGATAAGATGAGTCAATTAAAGGTTCTAAAGGTCAGTTAGCGCTTAATGACACTATGAGGAAGCCTAATGTTATCTTTGACTAACTCAAGGAACATTAGTAGAAGCCAGAGTATCACACTAACGTAGCCATCACTTCGTCCGTATCGGTCTACGTCGTACAACCTCCATGATTTATTGTTACTTACCTAAAAGGTGCCCCAAATTTGAGTATAGGTTCTTTAACAATAACCCCAACAAACCCTTTAAAAATAAAGCAGATAAAGCAAACAAGGAAAACAATTTAAAATGATCTAACTCTAAGGTAACCCCATTTTTTATAATTCCCCAGCAGAGTCGCCAGTTCTGTAATATGGTGGGAGAACCGACTGTTATACTAGTTTTGCATTTTTTATTCGCAAATGTTGCGGTAAGCAAGAACCCTCCCTCCCCCCGACTTTTCTTTTATCCAACAAAGGAAAGGGTGAAAAGAATAGGAAAAGACTTTTCGAGATTATTTCTGAGTAAGGGGGTAGATTATGGAAAGGAAAGGTGTTAGCACCCTTTTCATCTGCAGTTATCTACAAGATCTTAATTGCTAGCTCACTTTAAAAATGTTTTTTTTTTGTAAGTGTATTTGAAAAAGATGCC